GATGCCAGCTACGTTCCCAAATGGAAAAGTCAGTTTCACTTTAATTCTCGAACGACCAGTGTGGGCACTCGAAGTGAACGCCCCTCTGAAGATGATTGCCATGTGTGCTAGCGAAACGTCTGAAACCCCTAAAAAATTACCAATCGGTGTGGAAATTGAATTTAAAGAAAGTTTGGAATGCTTAAATAGTTTTTTGGTCTGATAAAACTGGCATGTGATAAAAAACGAACTTCAGTGAAATAGTTAAATGGTCTAAAGTCCGAAATTGCCCTTTAATACAAAAACAATTGACAGATTAGAGTAAATAATGAAAAATCGTCCAAAAACGATGAAAGGAAATAGAGAAGTATTTTTGGCCACATTCACCCTATATTTGAACGTATAAATGCCCTAGAAAAAAAACTTCTTTACAGCAGCCCTAAAGGAAGAATGGTGAAGCAAACAGTGCTTATGATGGTTCGAGTGAAGACAAAGCAAATGTATTTCAAACACAAGAAAACGAGCTGAAACAAGAAGAAAATGCTGCAGGACACAAAAAAATAATGGCCCGATTCGAAGCATCAAAGTCTGAAGGCTTTTAAGTGCAAAACCAAAAAATTGCTCTCGACAATGGGAAAAGCAATAAAAAGCTTCAGGCCCAAAACAATGAAATTGTAGAAAAATTGAAGAAAAGTCTAGTAAACACAGAGGAATTTCCAAATGGAACCCCGATTTCAAATGACCAGCTGAACCTAATGGGAACCATCCGAACAAATCAATAAACAGAAAAAACATTGCAACAAGCCTGTAGTTCTATACGATTTATTTGGCCAGAAAGAAAAATAATCAACCGGATCCAAGGCTTGTTTGGTACATTTGGTGGTACGCATCATTTACAGTTCTTTGATGTCGCAGCTTTTCAAGCTCCGTGCGTTTTTTGTTTGTTAACACAACACGGATTTTTGCGTTTTTTCCTCGTTTGCTTGTTTGTCTAATTGGCGCCGAATTAATGCTTAAATCAGGGGCAATTATTCACTTTTTTTTATGGTAGAACTTGAGCAATCTGAACTGGAAACTGGCAAAATCGGCCACTCCAGTCGGTTGTTGCTTCTAGGCAAAAATAGAACAGTATCCGGTGCGCTTTTCATAAAGTTTTATCGGGAAAATGCTTCTGGGTTTATTTTCAAAGCGACTTTAAATACCTCAATTGCTTAAGTGAGATAATATTGGTGGCAAAACAGACGCAAAATGTACCGACAAAATTCGATAGAAATTTTAATGGAACACTTGGTACTTATGAGGCTTTGCGTTTAATAACTTTACAGTAAATTAGATGATCAATTGATATGAAACAATCTAATCTTTTTCGCAAAACGAAGCTTAAAAGCCGGCATTTCTCCGTAAAATGTTTCGAAAAAAATTGGAAAACTTCGTCATTTTAATGTTTTTTGAATCATTCTTGCTAATCAACAGGCGTGTATGAGTTAATTAATTTGCAGAAGTGCACCCATCACGAACATAACTCCTGATGCGGGCAATAAACTCACTTTTTCCACTGCATAAATTTAAGAACAAATGTCTAACAAAAGTACACATTTTTTTTTAATAGAATCCACCCGTAAAGCAGCAGTTTAGATGGTAAAATTTCAGCAATCTATGGCTGAGCGTTGGGGGTTTCGATTACTATTTGTACTGTCCCAAAGGGATTTGGGTTTTCGCGAAAAACCCGGACTAATTAGGGGTGTGGGTCTAGGCGGGGCACTTTTTCCGGACATTTGTTATTCACCACTACGTTTAGTCAATGAACGGTCGTCTAGGGAAAAC